TATATATATTGGACGGCCATTGAGGGGACCCAACAGTTGAATGTTTCGACAGTCGGCCAATTTTTGTACAGATGAAAAATCAGGCCTGGCAACTAGACACGGTCTCCGATAACTCAGATTTATCCATGACAACCTTTCCAACTTTATTTTGACAAAAAACATTTTTTTTTTATTAGGGTCATAGTTGCTAAAAATACAAAGTAAAGGAGCCAAGCGACGGAAATCAATGAAGGCTGCAGTTCCTCTACTGTCCACTAGGTGGCAACCCACTTCTGCTGAGTGAAATGCACAGACAGGAAGGGACGTCATAAATGAAAAAGGATGTGATGTAAGGCACAGACAGGAAGTTCTGGGTTAAAGGTGAGTTCTAAGGAAGCTGAGAGGAGACATTGCTGGAACTGGCATCAGAAGAGGTTATAAGACATTCATTTACAGGTGAAACTCGAATAATTAGAATATCGTGCAAAAGTAATTGCAGTAAGTGCTGCAAAAGGGGCCCAAACCAAGTACTGAGTACATATGCATGCTTGTACTTTTCAGAGGTCCGATATTGTTCTATGTACAATCCTTGTTTTATTGATTGCATGTAATAATCTACTTTTTTGAGGTTGTGGATTTGGGGTTCTTGGGGTTTTCATGAGCTGTAAGCCATAATCATCACAATGATGACAAATCACGGCTTGAATTATCTTGCTTTGCATGTAATGAGTCTATCTCATATATTAGTTTCACCTTTTAAGTTGCATTAGTGAAATAAATGAACTTTGCACGATATTCTAATTATTCGAGTTTCACCTGTATATGTACACCCAGTAACACCCTAAAATCTATAAGGATCACAACATGACCCGGCAACGACGGAGACAACCCTGTGTAGAGGTTATTCATCCCGCTACAGCGCAGATAATTCTCATGTTATTATCCGTCTACAGAGAGGCGTGTCCTGTATGGATCACATGACCACCTCAGAGAGGATGGATCAGGACCAAAGTCAAATAACTGAGCGGATATTGGCCCTCACCTGTGAGATCATCTACCTGCTGACTGGAGAGGTGAGGAGGATTCTGGGAGGTCACATGACATCACTCCTATCTCTATTCATAAAACACAGACCTGACCGGAGAGGTGAGGAGGATTCTGGGAGGTCACATGACATCACTCTGATCTCTAGTAATAAAACACAGACCTGACCGGAGAGGTGAGGAGGATTCTGGGAGGTCACATGACATCACTCTGATCTCTAGTAATAAAACACAGACCTGACCGGAGAGGTGAGGAGGATTCTGGGAGGTCACATGACATCACTCTGATCTCTAGTAATAAAACACAGACCTGACCGGAGAGGTGAGGAGGATTCTGGGAGGTCACATGACACCACTCTTATCTCTATTCAAAGAATCCAGTATGGTAAGGAGGGTTCCGGGAATCAGTGAATTCAACACCATTAATGTCTCTTTATGAAGGTTTATGACGTGCTCAAGAAGACATCTGGAGAGCGATTGATACCCAGCAGTCAACTTCTTCAATCCCCTCCAATTACTCCTGCGAGAGACACGTTCAAGAAGATTCTAGAAGTCACCCAGAAGATGATTGAGCTGCTGTCGGGAGAGGTGAGTGGTGCCGGGAATTCTGGGACATGATCCAGGAACAGACAAGGGATGTGTCTGGGTGGTGACTGTATCATTGTGTGTGTCAGGTTCCTATAAGGTGTCAGGATGTCTCTGTCTATTTCTCCATGGAGGAGTGGGAGTATCTAGAAGGACACCGGGATCTCTACAAGGACGTGGTGATGGAGAACCGGCCGCCCCTCACATCACCGGGTAAGAGGAGAGAGCAGTACGGAGGGTCCACCTAGATCCCCCATCATCTGATACACACATAGAAACAATGTATTCAGTCAGTGTGTGTGTTTCCTACAGATGGATCCAGTAAGAGGAACCCACCAGAGAGATGTCCCCGTCCTCTGTATTCCCGGGATTCCACACAGGAACATCAGGAGATCCCTCAGGCCCGTCCTCTCTATTCCCGGGATTCCACACAGGAAGGTCACACCGTCCCCCACAAGGATCAGGTAGGAGGAACTGACTTCTGAACTCTCTCTAAAACTCTATTATTCTGTTATATGATCTCACAAGGTGTTATTTTTTGTCATTTTCTGAGCTCAGGAGCAAAAAGCGATCCATGTAAAAGTTGAGGTTAAGAAGGAACACCAGGAGGCGGAGTACATGAAGGGTGACCAGCAGTCTACAGAAGAAGTTCAGATGATGACGGCAGCTAAAGAAGAGGAACCTTCTCTAGATATCGGCACAGGTAACCAATAAGTGTGGGGAGGGTCATTGGTATTTTAAAGTATGCAGCCATGATCTACCTGCATTTCTTAGGAGGACATCACTGCGTCTCTCATACAGTATTGTGCAGGAGGCACAGGAGGTTACTGGAGGTACAGGAGTGCAGAGGTCACTGGAGGTACAGGAGTGCAGAGGTCTCTGGAGGCACAGGAGGGCACTGAAGGCAAAAGGAGGGCAGAGGTCTCTGGAGGTACAGGAGGGCACTGGAGGCAAAAGGAGGGCAGAGGTCTCTGGAGGCACAGGAGGGCACTGAAGGAAAAAGGAGGGCAGAGGTCTCTGGAGGCACAGGGGGGCACTGAAGGAAAAAGGAGGGTAGAGGTCTCTGGAGGCACAGGAGGGCACTGAAGGCAAAAGGAGGGTAGAGGTCTCTGGAGGCACATGAGTGCTGAGGACACTGGAGTCATAGGAGTGTGGGAGTCACTGGAGGGGCAGAAGTGCAGGGGTCACATGAGACATAGGAGTCACTGGAGTGCAAAGGTCACTATAGTACACAGGGGTCACAGTCACTGGAAGCATGGGAGACTTTGGAGGCACAGTGTGGGTGGGTGTTGGGGGGGATTGTCCTTTAAGATGGTGCCAGAGCGCTCATTGGCTGTGGTAGCGAAGAGAAGATCCGGCTCTCATTGGTAAAAACATTGTATCCCCAGGGGAACGAGACATTCCGGAATCTTCCTGGAGACGTGACCCTGATTACAATTCTGTGGCAGACATCACTGCTGAATGTTCTCCAGGAGCCAACCCCGTCACTGACAATATACATGGAGGACTAGGCCGTCCCGATCGGCCATCCAGTCCTAATCAGTCAGAAACCATCACCCCAAATATCCAGCCAAAATCCCACAACATGGATTCTTCAGCGCCATCCAATTCTGAAGAATCTTCAGCTGGTCCACAAAGCGATTACAGATTTCCGTGTTCTAAATGCGATAAAAGTTTCGGAAGGAGGACCCACCTACTGAGGCATCTGCGTCATCACACAGGAGTGCGACCATTTTCGTGCTTGGACTGCGGGAAGTGTTTTCAAGAGAGAGCAATTCTTCTTGCACACCAGAAGACCCACACAAAAGACAAGCCGTACACTTGCACAGAGTGTGGGAAAAGTTTTAAGCGGAAGGATACCCTAGTTGTGCACCGGAAAACCCACACAGGTCAAGTGCCGTACACATGCATGGTGTGCGGGAAGTGTTATACCCGGAAGGACAGTCTCATGGTACACCAGAGAAATCACTTGGGTGAAATGCCACATACGTGTAAAGTGTGCGGGAAGGGTTTCACGCGGAAAGGGACACTCACTGGTCACCTGCGAACCCACACAGGCGAGCGCCCGTTTTCCTGCCCAGAGTGTGGCAAAGGCTTTACACATAGATTTCGCCTTGAGCAGCACCAAAAACGGCACATGGATGAGAATTCCCTGTCATGCTCAGATTGCAGACAGTCCTTCAACACTAATGTCGAGCTGCATGTTCATCGGAGAGTTCACACGGGTGAGAGGATCTTCTCATGCTCACAATGCAATTATATATCCATAACCAAGTCACAGCTCATTGCTCACCAGAGGGTTCACACCGGTGAGAAGCCCTTCTCTTGTTCTGAATGTGGAAAATGTTTTTCCTATAAAGGAAATCTCAACACCCATTATAAATGCCACACAGGCCAAAAGCCCTTTACCTGCCCAGAGTGTGGGAAATGTTTCGGCCAGAAGGGACAGCTGCTTTCTCACCGGAGAAGCCACACAGCTGTGCACCCTTTCTCCTGTTGCGAGTGCAGGAAAACATTCAAATTTAAACTTGAACTTGCCCTGCACCAGAGGTTACACAACGGCGAGAAGATATTTCCATGCTCAGAGTGTGGGAAGTCCTTTATAAAGAAGTCACAGCTTACGCTACACCAAAGGTGTCACACCGGCGAGAAACCCTTTTCCTGCTCCCACTGCTACAGAGCCTTCTCACACAAGAAACATCTCAGTACTCATATGAAGTGCCACATGGACGAGAAGCCTTTTTGCTGCCCGAAGTGTGGGAAATGCTTCACAAAGAAAGCCAGTTTAATTCAACACGAGAGAAGGCACGCTCACTGACACTGGGAACTCGAGGCTTGACTTGTTTCATCCATAACACAGCTGTATGAAGTCTACCCCAAAACCCAACATAATCTTGACACGGAAAATGTCCACAAGGCATCCCTGCTCTTTTTTTTTTATAGTATCTTCAGTGCTCCTAGAAGGCCCTTGAACATTATTCCTCAACTTTTCTCATACTCAGAGCTATGACACCTCTTGTCTATCAAACAATATAATATAGGTGTTTCCAGTGGCATGTACCGGAAGTCCATAAGCAGAGGCCCAGTACTGTTAACACCACACAAGGCATGTCCATTGGCATCAGGACTTGAGTCTGTTTTACAAGTTGACTTGTTTTGCCCATAGAAAAGCTGTATAGTAAAGAAGAGGCACTCTGAAAACCTAATGTGACCCTAACCCAGAAAAGTGTCCACAAGGCCCCTCTGTGCTCTTCTTAATAGTTCTGTAAAGCTTCTCCTCGGAGGCTCGTGAACGTTCTTCCTTCTCTCTTCTCATGCTCTAAGCTACAACACCCATGTCCATCCTATGATACAATATAGGTGGTCCCATGCTTGGCCATGTGCCGAACTCCACAAGCAGAGGCCTGGATAAAGCATGCCTGTGGACATCAGGAACTTGAGTCGTTTTGAGGAGGCTCCTTTCTCAGCCTTGCTCATGCTCCCAGCTACAACACCCTATGCTATGATACAATATAGGTGCTACAACACCCTGTCCTAGGATACAATATAGGCGCTTCCTGGGCCATGGGCCAGAACTCCACAAGCAGAGACCCGGATAAAGCATGCCTGTGGACATCAGGAACTTGAGTCATTTTGAGGATGCTTCTTCCTCAGCCTTGCTCCAACTTCAAACCACGACACCCCTGTCAATCCTATGATACAATATAGGTGCCCCCATGGCCATGTCCCGGAACTCCACAAGCAGAGGCCTAGATAAAGCATGATTGTGGACATCAGGAACTTGAGTCATTTTGAGGAGGCTTCTTCCTCAGCCTTGCTCCAACTTCAAACCACGACACCCCTGTCAATCCTATGATACAATATAGGTGCCCCCATGGCCATGTCCCGGAACTCCACAAGCAGAGGCCTAGATAAAGCATGACTGTGGACATCAGGAACTCATTTTGAAGAACGCTTTTGAGAAGGCTTCTTCCTCAGCTTCCTCAGCTTTGCTCCAGCTTCAAACCACGACACCCCTGTCAATCCAATGATACAATATAGGTGCTACAACACCCTATCCTAGGATACGATATAGGCGCTTCCAGGGCCATGCTGGGGAATTGCCGTAACGCCACAAGCAGAAGCCCGGATAAAGCATGCCTGTGGACATCAGGAACTTGAGTTGTTTTGAGGAGGCTTCTTCCTCAGCTTTGCCCATAGTCCAAGCTACGACACCCCTGTCAATCCTATGATACAATATAGGTGCTCCCATGGCCGTGGTGGGCCATGTGCTGGGACTCCACAAGCAGAGGCCCAGATAAAGCATGCCTGTTGACATCAGGAACTTGAGTCGTTTTGAGGAGGCCTCTTGCTCATGCTCCAAGCTACAACGCCATGTCCTATGATACGATATAGGTGCTTCCATGGCCGTACTGGGGCAAGTGCCAAAACTCTGGGAGCAGAGGCCTAGCATTTTTAACACCAGACGAAACATGCCCATTGACATCGAGGCCTTGAGTCTTTGTTACAAGTTACTGGTTTTGTCCATAGCACAGCTGTATAATAAAGATGAGGCACTTTGAAAACCTAATGTGACCCTAACCCACAAAAGTGCCCGCGAGGCCTTTCTGGTCTTCCTTTACAGTTGCATAAGTCTTCCTCTTCGGTTCTTCTCATAAAGCCGCCCATTGCACTCAGGGACTTTAAGGGTTGACTTGGTCATGAGGCTCATGAATGTTCTTCTTCAACTTTAGTCATACAGCCCTATGACATGACACCCCTGTCCATCCTTATGATAACACATAGGCGCTTTTACACTTTAATATCATCATTTTAATGGCGATGTCCATTTATTTGGTCAATTTAACTTATTTATGGTAATAAACGGATGTCCCACAGAACGTTTTTAAATGATCTGCACAAAGTCTTAATATTTCATACACATTGAAGAAGGCGGGTGCACTCAGGACAGGTTTGCCAAGTATGCTGGGGCCTGTAGGCTTGTGGATGATGGACTAAGCCGGACCAACCTGTGTGTGCGTGCTCTCCTGTGTGACTTGTGTAATCTGATCTCCTTGCCCTTTCACAGCACTGCGGGTGTATAAGGGATGTCTAATAATTACTTATATCGCACGTATAGGTCCCTACAAGTCCAACAGGTCAAAGGTTATGCTACAAATCTCAGGGGGAGGCAACTTCTGGCCCTCCAAGTGCGGTGCAACTCCGTAAGGCATTGCAAGTCTGACAGGCACAGACATGACTCCGATAAGGCAGATGCATGATGGGATTTGTGGTTTCATCACAGCTGGAGTTTGCCTACCCCCGGCCCCAGAGGGTGTCAGGCCATGGACCTAGAACTAGGCATCGGATGATCGTTTTGTTTCAGCAACCAGAAGATGAACAGCATACTGGTACTTGCACACAGGGATATCGACACCTTGATCCTGATAATTTATAGATTGAGCGTTTCTGATGAAAAAGATAATAAAAACGGTCAACAAATTATTCTTTTCCTCTAAATGTAATAAAACAACAACAAAAAAGATGGCGAGCAAAGTATCTCCCAGCATGCCACATGGTCCAAGCAACAGGGGCTCCCACCATCCCAGTGCTGAGTTCTTGGGTCTGTACACCCACTGTGCCCATTATGAGGAGCTCCCACCATCCCGGTGCTGAGTTCCTGGGTCTGTACACCCACTGTGCCCATTATGAGGAGCTCCCACCATCCCTGTGCTGAGTTCCCGGGTCTGTACACCTGCTGTGCCCATTATGAGGGGCCCCCACCATCCCTGTGCTGAGTTCCCAGGTCTGTAAACCCGCTGTGCCCATTATGAGGAGCTCCCACCATCCCTGTGCTGAGTTCCCGGGTCTATACACCTGCTGTGCCCATTATGAGGGGCTCCCACCATCCCTGAGCTGAGTTCCCGGGTCTGTAAACCCCGCTGTGCCCATTATGAGGAGCTCCCACCATCCCAGTGCCGAGTTCCCGAGTCTGTACACCTGCTGTGCCCATTATGAGGGGCTCCCACCATCCCTGAGCTGAGTTCCCGGGTCTGGACACCTGCTCAGCCCATTATGAGGAGCTCCCACCATCCCAGTGCCGAGTTCC